CAAGAATAGAATTTTGAATCTGGGCAGGTATACACAATTATTGTGGTCTACTACTCTATATGATGATGGTACCGGCCCATGCAACAGGTTCGGTCTTAATGGAGGTATCCACAAGTCAACAAGCAGCGTATCCACGTGTTCATCATTTCTGAAAAAAAAATTCTTAGTTGCTCTTGTTAGTACCAAATTACTGATTAATGGACTAAGTAATAGTTTAATATAATGAGCAGGCTCAAAACCATATCTTAATGTAAAATTTTAAAATATTTTTCTTGTGTGTCCTTTCATTTATATTATGTTTACTTAATCATTTTCTAATGAATTAATGTGCTAAATTAAAAGGCCGCAAAAGGGAGCTACAATTTGATCCGGCATGGTGATGGATTTGACTCAACAAAACAATTGAAACAAAACTTTTTTCTGAAGCTAAGTCGATCATCATATGCATGCAACACTACATTGGGCAGCATTGGTTGAATTTTAACTGCTAAATCCACCTCCTACGGATTCGCCTGTGGTCCAAGTCATTAACATAGCACTCACTGAATCGTAAAGCTAGAGTACGCAGAGCCATATACGCAAGTCAATGACTTACTGTATATGATCTGGGCCAGTGCCACTAACTTATAATGGCCTTCCAAGTCAATTCTTTCTTTATTTGTTCGTGCTACATTAATAATTAGTCGGTTTTTTTTTTTTTGGGTTTCATTCATTATCATAGTTAATAAATGTAAACTAAATATATTTGTATGTTATACTATGTATAGTTGACAATCACGCAATGCTAGAATTAATTATAAGAATTAACGGGACAGCCTTATTTTCGTTTTGTTTATATTTTATGCAGAAACAATATGATTGCTTGTGTATAAGAATCATAAGAAACATTGCGTGAATAGTTAAATCATAGCTGCTGCTCTACTAACGTAAGCTTTAAGGAAAAGATAGCCAGTAATTAATGCGACATAACATGAATATGAATTTGGACATATTCACGTGGGAACATTATAATTCTACTTGGAAATATGAATGCGCCCATAATTAATAAAATAACCGAAGTATCGCTCTACTAATTATGGTTTTGGTCTGTGACAGTCTGTGCAATAATGTTATCAATTTGTGTTGGTTTGCTATGCTCTTTTTTTTTTTATGTTAATCTGACTTTAGATTACATGTGTTAAGAACAAAAATTAAGTTCATCTGAAGCACGTACATCCTTTTCAGCTGTTCCAATAAAAGTGTTGAACTTTGAAATCTTTTGCTGGTAGATATGTAAATTTGAAAACTTTTAAGGGTAGTGGATGTTCAATCATTGTAAGGAATTGCTACTCATATTATATATGTTATCACTTATCATTATTTCAATACGCACTTAATGAAATTCATTTACTAATAGTAAAATGCAATCGCTAGATAGTTAGATATATACTTTTAAGATCTAAGATATGCAGAGTTATGCTAATATTTCAGAAGTTCGATTGTGAAAGACCAATGAGGATCGAACATCCTTCATTTACTTTCTTCCACTTTGGAAACATATACCACGTGTATATTTTCTTTTATAAACCACATCTACACGTATTTTTCATGGGAGATAATTTTGTTCGAATCGGAAACATTCATACCATGATTGGACTAGTTCTACCAAAGAAATTCACAAAGACTTGAACTCAAGATATTGTTTAAACGAAATCAAGTATATACCACTTGAACCAACCACACATATATAACATGACAACTTATGGTTGAGGTTCTCAAAATTTAACAATATTATTATATGGGAAAAGTGTGTGTCATTTTAAATGATGTAAAGTTGTATCATTTCAAGAGAGAGAAAAAGATAGATAAATGAGGAGAGAGAGTTGACAAAAAACAAAAAACAAAGGTGTGGGTCCCACCTCTTTGTGAGAGTGAAAGGATATAAGTTGTGTTATTTAAAAGGATAAACATTTTTTCCTTATTATATATGATCATTGTATTTATTTTTAACAAATTAATTAGGCCCCTTTATTTCTTTTCTACCATTAACAAGTTGGTTATAATTTAATTACTTTTAACCCATTTTTTTTTATCTCTATTTGTTTTTTGAAAAAAAAATAAATCCGTTGTCATCTACCTGTCTGTCTCTTCATTTCTTGATTCTCACATTTTCACTGTAAGTTAATAACTTTCAAATTTTGTATTATATATATATATATATATATATATATATATATATATATATATATATATATATATATATATATATATATATATATAAGGGTAGGTTATATTTACAGTTTTTTGTTTACAAACTCTTACAAACTACACTAAGTATGACCAGTTTGTAAGAGTTTATGCAAGAGAAAAAATTGAGAAGGAGACAAGGAAGAGAGGAAGAGGGGAAGAGAAGAAAATTTTGAACCTTTATGTATGTATTGATCAATTGAGGGATCACAGTCCGTGTAGGACTTGTGAGATGACTGATTATATAAAAGGTGTCTATTAGATTTATGATATTGAGTGAGATCCTTATCTTCCAGAACAAAAAGTTTGTAAACATATCTTATCCCATATATATATATATATATATATATATATATATATATATATTTCAAATTTGACACCGGTGTCAAAAGATTCTACTTCATATATATATATAACCTCACCTGAGAGCCGTTAGATCAAAAAAGATCAACCACTCTGATTTGTGAGCATGTGACATCGTTGATCTTTTTTGATCTAACAGCTCTCAGATGATGTGTCAAATTTCAAATTTGATACCAGTGTCAAAGGATCCTACCTTATATATATATATATATATATATATATATATATATATATATATATAGGGTGAGGATCATTTTATACCAGTGTAAGTTACACTCATAATCTTGACCATTGATCCCAATTATATATAATGGCTCTAATTTTTTAGTAATATGAGCCATTGGATACAAGTGGATCAATGATCAAGATTGAATGAAAGACTTCTAACTCTTACACTAGTGTAAGAATATACTGCCCCATATATATATGTATATATATATATGGGTCAGGATCATTTTACACCAGTGTAAGTTACATTCTCAATCTTTTCCGTTGATCCCACTTATATCTAAGGGCTCAAATTTTTTAGTAATGTGAGCCATTGGATACAAGTGGATCAATGGTCGAGATTGAGTGTAAGACTTCTAACTCTTACATCAGTGTAAGAATATCCTACTCCGATATATATATATATATATATATATATATATATATATATATGTAAATGTCAAATTTGAAATTTGACACCTCATCTGAGAGTCGTTAGATCAAAAAAGATCAACGACTCTGATTTGTAAGTATGTTACACCATTGATCTTTTTGATCTAACGACTCTCAGATGAGATGTCAAACTTCAAATTTGACATCGGTGTCAAAAGATCTTATTTCATATATACATACATATATATATATATATAGTATCACACACACACATTCAGCTCCTATTTGTAATGTCCCACATCGGTTGGAGAGGGGAACGAAGCATGCCTTATAAGGGTGTGGATACCTCTTCTAGTGTGAGGCCTTTTGTGGGTTGTCCCAAGAAACAAAATCGTGAGCCCGAGGGCAAAGCGGACAATATCATGCTACAGGGTTTTGGGGCTGTTACATTTGGTATCAGAGCCTGGCCCTGGACCGGTGTGTACAGCGGGGACGCTGTATTCCCAGTGGGGGAGAATGTAATGTCCCACATCGGTTGGAGAGGGGAACGAAGCATGCCTTATAAGGGTGTGGATACCTCTTCTAGTGTGAGGGCTTTTGTGGGGTCTCCCAAGAAACAAAACCGTGAGCCCGAGGACAAAGCGGACAATATCATGCTACAAGGTTTGGGGCTGTTACACTATTGTTCTATCCTTCTATCACCTTAATTTATATTTTATACTTTATACTTTATAGATATATGTTAAATTTTTTATTATTCCTAAAAGTTTAAACATTTTAACTAAAATGTAATTGTAATTGTTCAATACCCAAAAGAAGGAGAAGAATTTAAACTTTAATACAATCTGGAAAAGAAGTTTTTGATCAATCTTATATCAGATCAATGACGTTTCAAGAAAGAATAAATAAATTCGCCATATTTTCATTTGAAAAAATATTTAAAAAATTATAAAAATTTAATTAATAACTTTGCAAATCAGAAAAACAAACTAAACCCAATGAGTGCAGCTCAGTTGGTAATTTGGCGCTGAGTTAGTGAGGTTAGATATGTGTTCGATTCCCGCTGAATGCATTCTTGGGGAGGGGGCTGAACCTTTAGCCATCACTGTTCTCCCGCACTCCGGATTAGTCCCATAGCCGGCTCAAAGAGTCGAAGCTCGTGGGGATACCGGAGGGAGCCAACTCGTCTCAAAGAGATAATTAGGGTTGGGTAACTCCAAAAAAAAAAAAACAAACTAAAAAAAAGTTGGATAATTTTTTTTTGTAATAACTTTATTAAACAAGTTAAATACCTCGTATTAAAATTTGGGTTTAAGCCACAAACTTTGTTGAGCTACATCCTTTCAAAAAGTTTGATATAGGACTTTTGTTTCCTTTTCTTTTATATGCGAAATATAATAGGAAATTGTTTTGTTTGATAGTATATGAAGGCTTCGCGTGAAATTAAAATTTGTGAATTCATTTTGTAAGATATATAACATTTTTATCAGAGAGGCATTAGAAAAAAAAGAAAGAAAAAGAAGAAGAAAGATGATATGACCAATTGACCATACTGGTGATTCCAGCATTTTCTTAAGTACACATGACATTGTTGTAGCTTTCATTACTGAAAACAAATTAAATATGGGTTTTAATTTGGGCCAGATACTGGTATAAAATTATATGGACTCCTTCGTAAGTATCATTGTAAATAATTGAAGTATAACATAAAAATGAAATGGAGGAGAATATTGTTGGGATTTGGGAAGAGGAAGGGATACCAAGAAAGGTAGTATATTAACTATTTCTCTTTCAAGATTTACAAAGTGTCCAAGTTGTAATGGTACGACCAATGGATGATCTGTTAGTATAAAAATAAAAAGGAAAAAGAAATATCAACAAATAAGAACTTTAATTTAAATATAAGAATAAATGACCTAAGTTCGCTGAGAGCTAGAGAGAAAAACCCATATCACCCAAACCCAGAAATGGCAAAAAGAAAAAAGAAAAAAGAAAGGTTCACCTCTATCGACTATAAGTCTATATCATTCATTCCCTTAGGGACACTTCACATTCTTGCCAGGTCCACCATAGTAAAAGTAATTTCCCCATGCATTATTAACCCCTCCTTGTATGTCATAACAATTTGGGTGGTCTGCTAGGACCCTGAGATTCGACAAGGGAATCAAGTTGTTATCCCAATCCACAACTTGCAAATTCCTAAAGTATGAAGCTTTTGCAAAACCCTCCCCTGCAAAATGTCCACTACCCATTTGGGTTGAAGTGTGAGAACCTGATGACATTGAATTCACTATTTCTCCACCAAATTGAACCATACTTGCATGATCCCCTAAGTGAGTGAACAAGAAGGATGGCCAGTACCCAACTAGGACCCCGGATCCAAATTCAAGCCACCAATTCCCATGCTTTGGATCCTACACATAAAAAGAAGCAAACGTAACCTTCAATGACACCCTTATGTTTTGTGACAAAGCAAACTACTCAAACATAGACATAATCATTAAGAGTAACATGTTAGCTAGCATAAAGAGTGAAATGGGTCAAAAAGAGGAGCAAGAAAGGTGGTGAATGAAATATTCAAATTATTGGGATTTTGTTAAAATAATAGAAATATGAAGAGGGAAAAAAGAGAGAGGTGAGAAGCTCAGAAATAGAAGCCCTTTAGTTGGAAAAAGGAAGAGAATCTAGAAAGAAGTAAAGCATAAGGCAGTGTTACAGTATCTTATTCGAATGCGCCCAGTGCACGCGTGTGATATTCCAAAGTAGTAAAATAAGTAAAGTGGGGCACATCATTTTTTTTTATGGGTTATATTACTTTCATGAAGACGGAGATATTACATTGTGAATCCTACTATTTATTTAAAAAGCAAAAGAAGAAGAAGAGAAACACAAGAATCGGTAATATAACCCTTTTTTTGTTGTTGAAATACTATGATTTAATATCGGTATTAAATTAAAAAGTTTGACATCAAATCTTAATAGTTAATTTTTATCAATATGATTATTATAATTTATTGAAAACTACTAATTAATTAATAAGTGTGACTCAATAAATTATAACTATTAAATTTATAAAAAATAATGATTGAGATTTGATGTTAAACTTTTTAATTTCACCGAGTGATTTGCATATTAACCATGACGAAAAACTACAAAAATAAAAATAAAAATTTGTGCACCATAACTTTGTTTTCGTTTTTTCGTCTATCTTTTGTTAACATTTTCAAAGTAAATCGTTATAATGTGAACATTTTACAAAAACCTACATAACAAAATTCGAAGGCAATACGAGACTTCCAAAATAGTGGAGAGTCCCACCATTGACCGTCTTTTCACTTTCAGTTTAGATTTTCTTACTTTTATTTTTTATTTTTTGGCTCCTTTAAGGCTTTGACTACGATTATTGCAATTTTTGCTGAACATAAAAAAATTATTAGTAAATATCTTTTTGGGTCGTTGACAAAAAATATGGTCCCTACTTTAGTTCCTTACAAAAAAAAAATAGTCTTGAGGTCCCTAAGAAATTCAAAGTGGACCCATTTAGTTGAAATCGTCGTCCCTCACAAATTCAAAAAAAGACTCATATTAGTCCCTCAAAAGGACTAAAATGAGTTCACTTTAAATTTTTTAAAGACCTCGAGACTAAATTTTTTATAAGAGACTAAAATAGAGACCGTATTTTTTGTTGAGAACCCAAAATAGTATTTAGTAAAAAATTATTCAAATCAAATTGTAGGCTCAGTCTCCTATCATCAAAATCAAATGTTTTATCCTCTATAGATGGGACCCAGAAGCTGATATTGTGTAAAGTACTAAAGTATTCATTCTCTTACCGAAATTCATGTAAGTGAACCCTTAAAATCATTTTGTATGACTTGTATGACAAAGCTTAATTGTCCATAAAAAGTAACCTAACTGACCATAATTTTCTAAGGTAAATTTGGTAATTATCTGAACAGAAAAATTACCTTCCAAATGAGTAAGCTAATATCAAATTGTCCACCATTATACGAAGAAGTTGGAGAGATTGCAGCTCCAATTGCAATTTTGCTGTTAGTTTGAACAAACCCTGAGCAAAGTAAATTGTAGCACCCAGTTGCTTGATATGCATCAGTCTGCAAATAAAGAACAATTATTATTTTTATTATTATTATTACATCTATTCAATGAAATATTTATTACTAGATATCTTACACTTGAAGCAAAGAAAATAATAGGTAGTATACTTTTCCAACTCCTTTCCTTCAATAAATTCACTTACTGTCCAATAAGTAAAGAATCTAGGGTAGCTGTCCCCATAGAGCTCCGGGCTGACCTGAACAAAAATTGCTTGAAATTAGCATGATCGGCTAAAATACAAAATTAAATATATAGATGAAAATGAGAGGTAGGTAGTTGAATATGCTAACTGCCCTTTTGAATGCATAAACAAATAGAATGCATTTAAGAAAAACTTTGATAGGCAAAGAAAAAAAAAATAGAATGAAGTAAGTGAAGAATTAATGAATTGTAATGAAAGTAACATGCCTGCCAACCAGCTTCAATGGTGTTGAGATCATCCCCAAATGAACCAGAAATGACCCACATTTGTGACAAACTGAATTCATATTGATTTTCCACAAGGGGTGCCCACACGTTTATGCTAGCCTTTGCTCCATAGTATTGATCCCCTGTCACATACCCAACTGCATGCTATTTGCAGTTTGAGGCAACAATAGTTAATTTTCAAGGTAGTGTAAGGTTCATTGAAAACAAATTTTAAGTTTAAAGTTGGGTTATGTTTGTTTAAAGTTTCTATACAAGATAAAGATAGTTGGAGCACAGAAATGAATGAAAAAGTGACCATCTTGCTTTGGAGCCAGTGAAACATTACTTAATTTCCTACTTTACTTCGTTTGAAGAAAAAGGAAAAGAAAAGAGAGAGAGAGAATATGAGTTAGTATTGCTTTCTGTGATTGTTCTGAAGTGCATCATACCTCATGTCCATCGCCGCTTGTGTCCCTTCTAACACGTCTTATTATTTTTCTTCCAAAACTGCTAATAGAGCTAGCTCTTAACATGTCTTGTTTTGTTGTTCTTCTAATTGGAATTGTTCCTTCGGGGCATGATTCACCAGATAAGCTCCACAACTGAAAGTTCTCACTGAAATCACCCATTTCCTTGTGGCCTCTGGGTCTTTCTGGAGGATCCTGTATACAAAAATACAAATATGCATGAAAATTTCCATTTTTATTTTCAGTTGAAATATACTAATAACAATTCTGAGATTTCCTTAGTCCAATGAAGTTAAATAAAAAATACCATCGGTTTCTGTCCTTTCAATAGAGGATGATCAAAAGCTGGTTGCTTATGAGACACAACACAGTCTAGTATATCACCATCAGGACTCTGCATAAAGGAACACAACACAACACAAGCACATCAATTACTGTCCAAAACAGAGGAAGTAACAAGATGAAGACAAAAAAAAGTTCAAGATCTTCACATACCTGAATTGTCTTAAGAGCGGGTTTGTTGATCTGTTGAAGGCGAATTCTTATGGTCTTCAACTTGTGAAACTCTTCCTCTGGTCGAAAAGTCTGATTGGAAATTTGGTGGGTACCCATTTGTGAAGAATAAACAGGACAAACAGAAGAAGCAACGAGAAGAAAATGTACAAGGAGGGAAATGATTGGGGTGCTCAAACACCATCTAAAATCCATGTTTGAGAAACTTTGTTGTTTCCTTGTTTGTGTTTGTTCACATTTGTGTTGTCTTCTTCCATCAACAAAACAAAATTTTCTATTCCTAGATTTTGATTTTGTCCTAGGAAACACATCTACTGCCATATCCATTCCACATATGACAAGTTTTCTGAGAAACTTTAATTACTCATTCACCATTTTCAAAGCCTTAGAAGCCCAGAACAACGTCCTTTTCCTCTCTCTCTCTCTCTCTCTAGAGTGTAGTGCAAACAAATTACTAAAACTTGGGTTATGTTATTGCCAACTTGATATATATATATATATATATATATATATATATATATATATATATATATATATATATCCTTTGACACAAGTGTCAAATTTGAAGTTTGACAACTCATCTGCGAGTTATTAGATCGAAAAAGATCAATGGTGTCACATACTTTTGCAAATCAGAGTCGTTGATATTTTTTGATCTAACAGCTCTTAGATGATGTGTCAAACTTCAAATTTGACACTGGTATCAAAGGATCCTACCCCATATATATATATATATATGCTAAATAGAATTAATTGTGATGAAATCATGCTAAATTTTAAAATCTATCTATGAAGGGTGAGAATCTATTAAGGAAATACTCGAAAGAGGTGATGTTGTGTGGCACTTTAAGATGTAAATATATGTATCTTAATATAATTAATGTAATTAGAATTCTTAATATAGAAACAAATAAACTCGATTAATATGATGTCGGGGAAATATTTATAATGAAAGCAAAAAATTGGTGAAATATCTAGAAAGATTAGAATTATTTATATAGAAAGAATTTAATTTTTGCTGTTTTCTGTTTTCTTTTGTTTTGGACTTAGCTCTCCCTTGTTACCAAAAAAGAAAGAAAGAATTTAATTTTTGATACCCTGTGCAAAAAAGTTTCATGTTTGCGTCGAATGGTGTATTACCATGTTATTTAAGGAATTAATATCTCATCTATTCATTAATATAACAAAACTGGTGATAATACAAGATAAAATTTTGTTAAAAATATAGAAGCAATACTCTCTTTTCAGCGCTTTCTATATTACTGAGTAAAATTTTATATATGCTCGTCTCGTTAAATCACTTGAGTTCATTCTTTATTAGTGGGGGAAAAATATGGAATTTCATTTAATAATAAAGAGTATTGAAAGAGAGGGTATAAATAATGTGTTGTTAATATTTTTTTTTCTAAAATACATAATGCAATCTTGACTAATTAATATTCCTAATAAGAAAAGAAAAAGCATATGCAATCAATTCGCATTAGGAGTGCATTTGGATAATGAAAATAATAATAAGTGCACTTCATGATAATTATAAATGAGGGAGAAAATATGCAAAATTTAAAAAGAAATAAATCCACATACAATTTAAATTAATAAGGAAATATTGAAATGAGATAATACTATATGGTATACTCTTTATTTGGTAAAAATATAAAATAAAAAGTTTGTGATGAACAGAGATCCTTATTCCAGGTACAAGAGATTTTTAAATATTTCCAAAGATAAAAGATTCTATATATATATATATATGTGTGTATATAATGTAATTGAATATAATTATTATTCATTAACTGAATTTTTATCTAAAAATTATTCTATAAAAACTTTTATTTTGATATAAAGATCCAACAGTACAATCAATATTAATTAATTACAATGCTTATAACTTAAAAGTTAATTAGTTCATTATTACGTCTCTACAATTCCCAAAAGTCATGCACCAAATTTTGTTCAATATAAAAAAAAAAAATTCCATTCAGAAAATCATGCGTTGGACAAGTGTCATTATAATTGATAAGAATAGTGTACAAGGGGTGAATAACTCGTAACTCATTTTCATATTCAGCATAAAGCATAACTTTTAAACTTGATTAAGTGTTCATTTTTTATAGTAATTTTATACTCGTCAAATATTTTTAAATAATTATTATATTTTACTATAGTGCAAGAGTCATTTTGTTTTTAATTAAGAACTTTTTATAAAGACAAGTAAGAATTTGTGCTGGTAGGATAATTAAAGTAGACTTTGCTAACCAAGATATAGTTTATTTAAAAGGGTAAGTTTGTAGAAAAATAATGATTTTATTTTCACCTTATTAATGCGAGATAGCAAGTCCAACCAAAAAAAGGCCTAATGAGTCCAAAATGCCATTACTTAGAGAAGAGAAACATGCATCCATCTTGTGTAATGTGACGATATCGCAACCTCCTGACATATGCAACTAGTAACTCAGGAAAAAGAACCGTGCGACATTAGCTGCTTAGGACAACTTGACCCCCACTTGAACTAATGACTGACGGATAGCACCTGTGTATTGCGACATCTACAAAGGCTTAGCTTAATCATAGACATCTCACCCACAACATAGCACGTGAAAGCTATCACTTTCCACCAATAGGAATGAATACCACCATATTAAGACAACATAAACAAAGCACCCCTCCACTACAAAAATAGAGGCATTAAGCCCATATGATCATTTATCCATCAATACTTGAATACCTTGAACTCATACTGACTTGAGTATCGGAGTACCTTGAAGGTAAACCCCTAGTCTCCCAAGACTACTCAAACACATCCACACCAATTCAATTATCTCGCTGAGTATCTCGCCAACAACCTCAAGCATCTCGCAAAGAGCACCTTAGCCTAGACCTTCTCAATCATTAGCAGGCTCAATCGTGTGTGATCTACCCCTATAGTTTTTCGACTGACTGTGGGGAACAATAAATTTTGACTCCCACTCCAAACAAATAAAAGCATGGTTGACACCACGAGTAAGATGACGAAATCTAAAAATAGATCCAAGAACCAAAATCACCAAATTTCTCAAAGGATGATGATAGCCTCATCTATTTCTCCAACTTCTCATCCACATGATAACCCACCATCATACAAACAAATTGTTGCTACCAATCCATAAATTCTTAAGATCCTTAGGCAACAAAACCAAAGGCTCGAGGATCAACAAAAAGAGCTACTAGAACTCAGAAAGCTGCAACAACAAGTAGACCATGAAAGACATTCAAATCTCATAGAAAAAGTCTTACGAAAATGTCTAGCAAAATGAAGAACCTGCCTAATCAAAAAGAAAAGAACAACAAAAACAACCAGATAACCACCATCCATATAATAGCCATGTCACAAACCATCATGCAGACCAAAATTCTCATCCAAATCCCAAAACTACCTCCAAAGTTGCTCACCCTTTTACCTATCAAATCATGAACCTACCTATCCCTAAGGATATTAAAATTTAAATTACCATTGAACATACAATGGCAATGGTGACCCCCAGGAACACTTGGAGAAATTCCAAACCAACATGATGGCACAGTACATTCATGACACTGTAAGTTGTCGCTTGTTTCCTACCACCTTGAAGGAGGTAGCTTTAAGATGGTATTCTGCCTTACCACCTAATTCCATCTATAATTGGGAGGATCTCTCCAAGCAGTTCTTAGTTCAATTTGCCACCAGCAACGCATAATATAAATACACTCATACCTTAAAGGCAGTAAAGCAAGGATCTCGCTAATCCTTATGAGATTACTTGAACAAATTTTTTGATGAAGCTTTCTCAGTAAGGGACTTAGATCCACAAGACTCTCTATACCTCATTGCATATGGTTTACATGATGGACCATTCTCTATGTATTTGGCAAAACAAAGGCCAAAGACTATTGAAGAGTTACAGATGAGATCAAAAAAGTTCATCAACCTTGAAGATTACAAACAATCTCGCAACGATCAAACTCAAAGGCGAAAAACAAATGACAATAGGAAAGACTTCAGAAGAAAGTTTAGAGATGCTATAAAGTTTGATGAATACACTCCCTTGAACACTTGTAGATCTCGCATCCTGAAAGAAGTTTTCCAAGCAGGATTTTTGAATATTGCCAAACCAGCACCCATCCCCAAAAAAGACAACTTGGACAAATCCATATTCAATGATTTTCATGAAAACTTTAGGCACTAACTCGTAGAGTGTTTTGATCTTAAAAACACCATTGAAACCTTGATTCTTGAAGGACAACTCAAGCAAGTCATTTCAAACTGCAAGAAGGAAATCGAGTTCAGAAAGTGAGATAGAAACCTTGACCAAGACAGAAATCCTCCTACGAGGTACTATAAGGAAAGGAGAAACTATAGGTGTGCAGATAATTGATGAGATGACCGATATCGCGAGAGATCCTCTTTCACGAGAGAGGATGCAATATGAGTAACCAGTTGAACAGTAAGAACCCACTTAACCATAACTTCCCAATAATGTCGTATGAGTTCTAAGAATGATCATAGTATGTGAAATTGGCGGAGGAAAATCCTACTCCCAAAGAAATAAACACTTAAAATCTATCATGACAGTGTCAAGCCACCAAAAATTCCAACCACACCTGAAAAGAACCACCGCAATATCTTTTGATGGAGATGATTTCGGTTACATAATCCAAGGTCATGATGACCCCTTGGTTATATCAGCATACATGACCAACCTCCAAGTAAAAGGAGTATTTATTGACAACGGAAGCTCTGCTAACATCATTTTTAGGAAGCATTTAAAGGAATGAATATTATTAAAGAAGAAATAACTCTATGCCAGACACGATTGCTCGAATTTTCTGGTGTGTACAAGCCAAAAGTACGATAGAATTACAAGTCACCTTTGGGGTCCTCCCCAGATCAAAAACTATCAAGGTGCATTTCTATGTTATCAAATGTCCATTTGCCTATAATGTTATCATAAACATACCGCATATAGTCAACCTTGGGGCAATTATCTCTACACCTCACTTACTCATCAAATTCAAAGATCCCCAAGGTGGAATAATAGTTGTTAGAGAAGATATATAACAACATGTTATACACCGGTATGTTATCATTAATTATGATATTAAGAGCAATTACAATCATAGTGGTTAAATTAAAATACGACTTAACTTTTTTATTTTTAAAACATAACATATATTGCTTAAAATAAAGTACTAAGAGTTGCGAAGATTGCAAACCCAATTTATCCTAGTTCTGTCACCACTACTTGTGACCTACATTTAGATTGCAAGCTGCATAAATGATTTTTCCACTGTAGGCCAAGCTTCATGGGTACTTGAGCTTTTAGGTGCATGGAAACCTTATAGCCTCTAAGCTTCACGAGTGCTTAGAAACCTTTCAATCATCTAACTTCTCAGTGCTTGACAACCTCACAACTTTTTCCAAATTTTCCTA